TGCTGGCATACTCCTCTGTTTACTTGTGACACCTCCCTGGCCCATTTTATTTTTATTTATTTATTTATTTATTTCTCTTTTAAATATATTTTCTAAAATAGCAAAAAAATTCTAAAAAATATAAAATGATGGGTTTATGTTTTGACATAATTTAAATATTTTTCCACATAAAAAATTATTTTTATTCATTATATTTTATTTATCTTTCACTAATTTCCTTGTAAATTAAATTAAAACTAGATTATTATTTATTTAAATATACTTATTTTAATATGAAAAAGATCAAAATATTTCATAACACCAAATACTATTTTCAAGACAAAAATAAAAAAATATTTTTTTTTGTTTACTTATTTTTCTTTAATCAACTAAAATAGATTTAGGGTTTTATTCAAAAAAAAATCTTAATTAAAATCTTTTCTTAATCAATTTCTTTTCTTAATTAACTTAAGTTAATTTAATTTAATTACTTTTTTCTCTAATTAGGTTTAGGTTAAAACTTCCTTCATACAAAAATCCAAACACAAAAATCTTTTCTTTCAATTTGCATTTATGTTTTATATATTCCTTCAATTATTTGTACAATATTCAATTTGGTTGTAATAGATTAATTAGGTTTATACTATTGCAATCCCAATTCATAAATTGTATACCCCCTTCCCATAAACGTTGTAATAGCGTAGTAACTTTAAATTTCGCAATTTATCGCTTTTACATAATATGCTAGTAATTAGGGTTCGTATGAGAAGATTAAAATCAACCAAGTAGAAAACCCTAATTCAAGACAAAATCAAGCATGAAAACAACCCACTTGCACACAAGCACCCTTAAGGTAAAATCCACTTGGTTGCCTTACAAAATGGTCATATTACGCATGTAAGGTATCTTAGCAAAAACAAGAAAATACAAGATCATAGTCCCTCGATGACGCTATCTAAAGTTGCCTTACAAATGATCTTAGTCCCTCAAAAAAGAATGCTAAGATACCTTGGAATATTGCTAATCATGGTTATACGATAACCCACGCCCGTCCCGTTTACATCCAAAGATAGGGTTGCTTACCAAATCAATGGTAAGACAACAATGTCAAAGGAAAAGGAAACGAACAAGAAAGACATTTGAGTAGGTAGATTGCTCCTAATTACTTGCTCCATTTCAAAACAAACATCCTTGCTATTTTCAAAACAATCACATACACTTTCAAACATCTTACACAATTGAAAACATTTTCAAAAGATCAACATCTTTGTATACATTCTTACGAACAAGAATCATTATAAAGATTGCCTAAACAAAGGCCTCTTTACAAAATACTTTCAAAAAACCATACAAAGCACAATTTCAAACAAAAGCAAGTGATCTAGCAAGTAACTAAGAGCCCATGGAAAACCATGGATGAAAAGGGTGCTAATACCTTCCCTTTTCATAATCATCCCCCTGAACTCAAGAAACAATCTCAAAGATCTTTCCTGTGCTTTTTCACCTTTCCTTTTGGATAAAAGAAAAGTCGGTGGCGACTCTTGCTAACTGCAACATTTGCGATCAAACGTAAAACCCTTAAGTCAGTTCTCCCACCGTATCACCGATATCTTCTCGAGCCAAACTACTTCAGTAGAAGTAATATTCATCAGAAGATAAGTATCATCAGAAACGTGAGCCGCAAGAGTTAGCACAATAGGACAATTACACATTTCTCAAATAGATGTACTGTGTACTATTTGTCTCCCACGATCGTTTCTTACCGTTGATAGCTTGCAAGATGAAAGGGACATGTGTACTACTACAATGGTCTACTTCCTCAACGCCTATATAAAAGTTTAAGCACCTCATTTGCAAATTAACGAATTGACGAACACAAGAAGAAGAATCTTAACGCTTCCAAAAATCAATCCACAAAAAAGATCAAAAACATAAAGACTTGTTGTTCCTTATTTTTGTAATAATGTTTGATTGAACACATGAGTTGTTTCTCATTATTATGTTGATATTATTTATTGTTAGAACAATAAAAAAAAAGACACAAGAGTTGTTGCTCATTAATTATGTTATTATTTGTTCTTCAATTATTTGTTAGAACACAAGAGTTGTTGCTCATTGTTGTGTTGATATTATTTATTGTTAGAACAATCAAAAAAAGAAGAAAAAGACACAAGAGTTGTTGCTCATTAATTGTGTTATTATTTGTTCTTCAATTATTTGTTAGAACACAAGAGTTGTTGCTCATATTTGTGTAATCATTGTAAATTGCTTGAACACAAGAGTTATTGCTCATAATTATGTTAAACAATATGAACTTAAACATCTGTGTAATCTGCTTATTAGAAGCAACTTTGTAAACACATCATTCAACTGTGAGTTGATCAAGTCCTTGTCTAAGACAGAGAGAAATCTCCTTTGAGAGATCGGGTAGGTCTAAAACCTTAAGAGTAGAGGATCGGGTAGGTCAGAATTCTTAAGAGATCACTAACAGGATATCATTGTATTGTGGTTAGTCATCGGCAGGTAGCCCGTGCATTTGTAGTTTGTTGAGATTAATGGATTAAGTCATTTTCTAAGGCAAAATCACCTTGACGGATGGACAAGAGTAGCATTTTCTAAAGTGAACTTGTCATTATTTATCTTCTAATGCTTTGATTTTTAATCTGATAGTTTGTGAAAAGCACTTCTAATCGTTTGTGAAAAGCATTTCTAAACATTTTCTAAAATCATTTCTAAATTAAAAAGTTTTTAAAACTCAATTCAAATCTCTAATTTTTTATGTTTTTCTCAACCATCAAGATGGCAAGCATTTGAAGCATTTGAAATGTTTGACAATTTTAAACTTGAAAATGTCATAGTTTCCTTGATAATATAAAAAATGGTGAACATATAATCTACCACCAGATTCAATTTGCCATATATAATTGTTGCTAAATCATAGATAAGGTAATGCGCCACAAACTTTTATCATTCAATTGTTCAGTTAAAGATCTCAAAAACAATTCAAGAAAGTAGCCATTACCTACTTAAAGGGTGGACAATCGGTCGGTTTGGATTGATATCAGGCTCAAAACTTAAATTCGACGCAAACCGCAATTTCATTCTAAAGGTCCAATTCCAATTGATAAAAATTTTATTTTTGACAGATTGGATTAAATCAGTTTGATAGATAAATCGAGTGACTTTAATCGGTTTAATATTTATCGAGCTAAATTCATAAAATAACTAATTTTTATAAAATTCACATTTATTTTTTAGATTTTTTAAAAAAACTATCGAAATTTTAGAATAGCTTAAAGTGAACTATTTTCTTTTATTATTGATGAAAATATTATTATTACGATAACATTCTAATATCATTTAATATTAATTTGTTCATTATCGTACTTTAAATTACAAACTAGGTAACATTTAATTTCATATTGCATATCTAATATTTTTGTGAGTACATATACTATTATTAAATTATAAAAAATAATAATAACCTGAAAATATCATAAATATCATTTTTATAATGATTCACCACTATAATAATAAAAATAAATAAAATAAATATTAATTGAGTTCGGTCAAGTTCGGTTTTTGACGGATTCAAAATAATCATCCAAACCCAACCGAAGCAACCCTATATTATGCAAATCAAACAACTTGATCAACCCAACACTCAATCCGACCCGATCCATTTGCACAAAAAAGACAATGGATTGGCCGGTTTGAGACGGACGGTTCAATTTTCCAACCCTAACCTACTTCATCTCATGCTTTTTTTCAACCTCAGAATAGCAAGGAAGCCATCATTGCGCATTGTGATTATCACCATACTTCTAGATCGATATAATGCATCACATCCAAAATATTCAGAAAATGGTAAATTTATTTTTAAAAATTGAAATAAATAATTATAATGGAATGAAATTTAATCTACATTCTTATTTGTGTATTATAAGTTGAAGTGAAAATAAAAAATAAATAAATAAAACAGTGCCATATGTATTTTACTACAGAATAAATCATTATTTCTGTTGAAAAACGGTCCTTGCTTGTCAATAAAAATAGGAAAAAGGTCTAATGTTGATGATCATTATATTTCATATCAATAACAACATAAGTTCAAAACAGATCCTTGAACTTTACTCCTGTCAGTCAGATTCATGCACTAGTTTTGTTGAATTCATATTTTTCAACTTTGTATTCTACTCCATTTGGTCAAACTGATCCATCTTCTACTGCAAAACATCCTTAAAATATCCTTTCCTAGGCCTTAACTGTTGTCTGCAATCATAAAAATTCAAGAAATAGGTGGCTTCAGAATAATAAACTACTCAAAATCTTGTTAAGCATTGAAATTATAGACCATCAGAATTGCTTTTTACTATATTTCTCGGTATCATAATGTGATATATTGACATTAAAAAAACAAATATTATACAATCTTAAAAAGGTTTTACACAACTTTTCAAGTGTTTCTTAGTCAAAACCAACATGAGTATTAACAAACTAAGTAGTAGTAGTAGTAGTAGTAGGTATAAATTTCACCATAAAGTTCTCACTTCTCACACTCAAAAGTTGTCTCTCTACCTAATTTCAGCCTGGACATAGTTTTATCGAGCAATTTCGGAAGAAATGTAGCAACTAGCACACGACCTTAGAATCTAAAAAGATGACAAATGAATGCAGAATGGAAGTGTTATGGAGAAGTCAAAGCTTTTATTTTAATTCTTGTTCCAGAGAGTATTATAGCAAAGTCAAAAATCTAAACCAAATTACAGCAAATGATTCTGGAATTATAGCAAAGTCAAAAATTCTAAACCAAATTACAGCAAGGAATACTTAAAAACAGGCAAAATTGAATTAACAAGGAACATCAAGTCACATACATACACATGGTGAGCTATATGAAATAGAACAACATGCTATAATTGAAATTTTCTATTTTCTCTTGGACAGTAACTAACTAGCTGGGATATATAAGAAAAACATACCTGAAAGGTGATTGCAATTCTTCCTTCCCTTCCCATTGCTCATAATATTGTCAATTCATAATCTATTTTTATGACAGGGATGTGAGCAATGTTGGACCAATGTTCCCCTCTCTGATTTTCATACTTTGCTTTTAACAGACGGCAGTTACTAATGATCAATCGCTTAAGAGAAGAAGGGAGACCATCTTTTGGCAATGACCCAAGTCTTTTACAATCATCAAGGTCCAGTATTTCTAGAGAGGAAGGCAACCTGTCCGGCAAGGACTTAAGTTTTGGGCAATATGAAATTTCCAGTGATTTCAGAGAGGAAGGAAACATGTTTTCTGGCAATGATCCAAGCTTTGTACAACCATAAAATCTAAGATTTTCAAGAGAGGAGAGGTGTTGAAGTCCATTTCCTGGTAAGGATTTCCTTTTAGAGAAATAATGTATTGACAGAGACACGAGAGACACCGGCAGCAACTGCTCCTTCAACAAGGTGTTAACAATACCATCACCTCTGATATCCAAATCAGACAGAGCACTAAGGTTTTGGAGACCCCATCCGGTGGCAATTGTTTTCGTTCTCAAGGATTGAAGGAAAATTGATCGTAAGTTGGGAGGGAGGCTAGCTCCTTCATAGCATGGTAATAATGGTAATGTGAGATGCAAGCTTTCAAGAGCAATGAGGGCGTCCATCCGTTGAGGAAGTGATATAAGTGCATTACAGTTGGGGGTGTCCCTCCATTGAGGATGTGATATAAGTCCATTATGGTTGAAAACATGAAGTGATTGAAGGGTCGACGGGCAATGGGAATAAATTTCTGAAATAAAAAAGCATTGCAGATTCTCACAAGCTTCAATGTCAAGACTTTGGAGCACGGGGAAACCATTCAGTGGGAAGGAGGTAAGTGCATCACAAGATTGCACTAACTCCAAAGACACAAGTGATGTGTACTTGCTCCATGTTTCAGGAGGCAGGAATGCTAAATTCTCACACTCAGAAATATGTAGTGACTGCAGAGAAGTGGGTAGACCATCATCCGGAAATGACAAGAGAGATGGAATCGAATGGAGTTCCAAGTGTCGAAGCCTAGTGGAACTCGTAAACATTTTAGGTAGAGACAACATCATCCTAAAGTCCCGTATTTTTACACGCTGCAGAAGACATGTAGAATTACTTTCAAACGACAACCATTCAGTGGACTTTGGAGAATGCACATCTAAAGATTTTACCGAGGAAAGCCAATGCAAAGTAGATGGGGGGGCCAACAAACTATCACACCAAAATATTGTAATTTCTTCTATGGAAGGAAGATGACTAGGCAAATGTCCCCTCAGTTCAGAACAATGATCTAACTTCAGAGTTTTAAGACGAGGAAAAGGAAACTTACTGCCTCCGAAGGAAACCCATTCCTTCCAATTAGACATGTAGGAAAATTTTAGATGCTCAAGAGATGGAAATGGTTGGAATGAAGAATTAGAACCTCCTCCTGACATGCCATAGAACTCTGGACCAATTGTCTCCAATACCGGCATATAGTCTATACTTAGATCTTTGAGAGAAGGTAGTTGCCCTAGAGATGGAAGTCTGACACAATAGTCACAAAAACTTATGCACAAGTACACCATGTTAGAAAATGAAGAATCTCCCAGCCAACTTGGAAAGCTTGTCCCGCCATATAAGGCAATTCTCAATTTCTTCAAGTTTATTGATGGTTGCAACCCATCAAGCACAACTTTATCTGTTTGTGAATCATTTGTTCCTTCTTCTTCTTCTCTCCAAATTAACTCTAACTCATCAATGAGTTCTTTATTCTTCAAGTTGGCATCACATGCTTCATTGACATCGATGACATTACACAGATTTCCAATGTAAAGTTTTCCCCGAATGTTAGGAAACTTCCCAAGTTCTCTCACACTTAACCCAACTTCTTGGTTGCCCACTATGAAAACAGATAGGGTTTGAAGGTTTTCCAATCTAACAATTTGCATTGGCATCTTTTTAATGCGAGAGTCACTGATATCAAGGTGGCGTAAATTAATTAACTTTCCGATATCAACCGGCAATTCATTCAGTGAAGAGCATGATGATAAATTTAAGGTTTGCAAATAGTACAAGTCACATATTGATTCAGGCAGGCTTTTGATATCAGTGTGGGAGAGATCGAGATACCGCAAATGCAACAAGTTATAAATTGAATCTGGTAACACGGTGAAGTTGCTGTGATGTGATAAGGATAGCACACGCAAACTTCTGAGTGTAGGTAGTAAATCATCAACCACCTTTCTAGATAAGTAATTTGATCCCCGGCGAATGCAAATAGGCAAGAAGCTTCGTAAGCTTTTAAAATCGTAGAAAATCTCAAACTTCTTGAAAGTTCCGTACTTGTCTGGAATATATGACAAATGTTGAACCTTTTTTGAGATGATGCCACCACATTCAAGCTTGCAACAACTTTTCCCAGATACAATCTCAGCTAAATCATAAAGAAGGTCATGCAGAACAAACTTTTTTCTCTCAGTGTCATCTTTCAACTGTTGAATGAAGGATCTTGATAGCAATTCAACAAAGTAGTCATCACCCACTTCTTCGGGTGCTTTTTCACCCTGAGAATGCTCAAGGAAGCCTTCTGCCATCCACAACAAAATCAATTGCTTCCTATCAAAGGAATATCCCTTCGGAAAAACAGAGCAATAAGCAAAACATCTTTTCAAGTAAGAGGGAAGATACTGATAACTCAAAAGCAAAGATGGAAGAATATTATTATCTGGTATGTTCCATATGTTGCTAATCAAAATTGAAATCCACCTCTTTAAATCAACATTTGAAGACAAAAGTCCTCCAAGTGTTTTGGCAGCTAGTGGCAACCCTCTACACTTTCTTGAAATTTTCCTACAAATTGCTTCTAGATCGGGGTATTCATCGCCATCATAATCTTTACTTCCAAATGCATGCTTGGAAAGTAAAGACCAACAGTCTTCGTATGACAAAGGTTCTAATTTATGAATTTGAAATGTATGCACAACCTCTGCAACTTTTTCTTGACGCGTCGTAATGATCACCCTACTTCCTAAGTTTCCATCAACCAAAGGAGCTACCAACTCATTCCAATCATTATAACCAACATTCCATAGGTCATCAAACACAAATAAAAATCTTCTAGACTTCAATTTCTGCTTTAATACAAGTCGGAGATAATCAAGATTTTTGTCGTTGTAAAGTAATGAACATACAGATGCAAGTAGAGTTATAATTACCCTCACAATATCAAAACCCTCCGAAAAACGAATCCACATTTTCAAATCAAAATGCTCATGAACTTGTTTATCATTATAAACTAGTTCAGCAAGTGTAGTTTTTCCAACCCCTCCAACACCTAAAAGAGCAATCACACCTAGATTTGTACCACTACCTGACGACAACAACATATTCATCAATTTCTCTTTATCATCCTCCCTACCAACTATGAAGGATTCATTTAACACTGAACTCGAACTTATTCTACAAGAAACCCTATCACTTACAGATTGTAAACCAATGAAATCTATCCGTTGAACAAAACGTTGTAGCCTTAGATTAATCAAATTCAATCTAAAATTGAAGAAAAAATGGTGATCAGGTTGAGTGTTGTGAACCTTGCATTGCATGGAATCGTAACCGATTTCATCGATCAAATCATCTGCAAGTGAGATGGCGTCGTACAATTCATCCATCCATTGTTCGACAGAGGGATTGAAGAAGTGCTTGCGCTCTGCATCGGGGAGAACAGAATGGAGAGTGAGAAGCGAAGTTTCGAAGACGGTCAGTTTGAGGAGATTCAACTTGCTGCTTGTGATGTAATCGATGAAGTCTGGTGAAGAGAGTCTCAGTAGCAAATCTTCAACCGTTGCAGTGAGAAAAGCGCTTCCTATCAAGGCCTTAGCGGCCATTTCTGAGCCTTGTGTTGCTGTTAATGCAAGTGCGATTTTAGGGTTAGAGCTATGAAAGAGTGTAAGAAAAGAGTAAAGTTTACATCTGACTCGTATAGCAAATCGGGGTCTTGAGAATAGGGTTTAGTTCTACTTCTGGAAAAGAAATTCATGTGAAATTATTTTCGAGAAATTTGTGAGTGAGTTTCTAGAAAAGAAAATCAGGTGAAATTATTTTCATGTTATTGTAGAGAAAATGCACCATTGGATGTGATTAATGGTTTCCGAAAAATCCAGTTTTTTTTTTTTAATTTTCGATAATAATTCATATTTTTGAAAATTAATGGTGTTAGACAAAAGTATAATGGTAAAAACATACCAAACGTGAGAGTGGCATGTATAATTGTAGGGGTGACATATTAATTCCTCTTGACTTATATTTTTCATTTTATATACTAGACTCATTAATACATGTTTAACTGCAACATGGGAGTTAATAATACCATTTTACAAATTTTTTTCTCTCTTTCTCTTTTCAAATTGTCACCTTCTTTTTCCGTTGAACCTTCATCATCCATTCATCCATGGTTTTTTGTTTCAAGTGTCAGTCTGTGGTTGTAATAAATGAGTGAAATTGTTTATGTCAAACTTACTTGAAACTCCTAAACACAAATATTGGAAATGTCAAAAATCTAGGTTAATGTCAAGTTGCAAGTTGTTCATATGAGATGATGAACTTGAACGAAACATATCGAGTGAACCCAGAACTTCAAGCGGATGCAATTGCTCAGAGGTGTTGAAGGATTTAGGTTGCATTATTAAGGAGCTTGAAATTAGGAAAAAGCGAATATGAAGATGAAGTTGGAAAAGGAAAGGAGAAAAGTCAATTTGTTCAAGCTTCTGTTGATTGTGTCATGGAGTTTGTTTATTTCTTACCAGAAATAGTGGTGATTCCCATTTGAATGTTTTTGTACTATTTTTTGTTTTTTGTCCCTGAAACAAGAAGTCGTTGTGAATTTCATCTATGTACTATTTAATGAATAATGTGACATTTTGATTTTGGACTCTGTATGTTTGTAATTTTATTGTTATACTTGTTTATTAATAATATAGAATAAGATAAGAGTTATAAGAAAGATGCATCATAAAGTCATTAAAGAGATCAAATATTACTAAACTATAATGATGGTTAATGTATCCAAAATACATATAGCCAAAAAGCATAATATATCATAACAACATAACAGAAATTATCCATGACTTAAAATACAACATAACATAAATATATCATATCTCCAGTTTGTTCAACATAACAAAAATACATAAGGCAAAATACACCATGAAAGTTCACTAATGTCTACAATATCATTGGTTGTGTTAGGTCATTTTCTTCTCCCTTGAACTTTTTGCATTTTAGAACCCTTGTTCTATCACTTCTCCTCAACTCTAACTTCCTTGCCACATTTTGTTTGTGTTACTTTTTCTATAAAGGTACTATCATAACACAAGCATTAGGCCAAATGTAATAAACTCAATTGAAACTTAAATTGAAATAGTATAAGTAACTCAACTGGTTTAGGAACCCTTAGAGGTGCAGATACAACTACATGAGAAATAGGTTCCACATTTGGAACAGGTGCAGACAAAATATAATCAGATTGTGAATCATTTATACAACACTAATATTGTAGGCATTTAACAACGGTTGAAAAAGATATATAATCACGCAGGACCAGGCATTATTATGTAGCGTGTGATTGTATATGTGTTACTTACAATTACTATCCAGGGACCGTTGTAAAAAACTAGAAAGCGTGCATCCTATCACAACGGTTGATCTAAAGAACCGTTGTGATATACATAAAGGTCCATGGTTTGATTCTCAGCGGCTTCGTTTTAGTATTTATATTATTCTGGATAGCGCACGAAATATTACAACAGTTGTGTTATTTAACCGTTGTGAAACTTTTTGCTGGAGTAATAAATTTAATCTTGCTTTTATAATTTTTCCCATTTTAAACTTGTATTTTATGGATCATATCACAACAGAACAATCCTAGCAGAACAGGTTTTGTGAGATGTCACCTCGGTGTTTGGAAGAACAGTGGTGAACTGAGCGTTGTTGTTTGTGCATTTTGTAGTAGTGTTAGTCATATGCAGTTACCTAAGAAATAGATTCCGCATTTGGAACATATGCATTTTTGACATTTGATGAGGTTGTGTTGCCTCAGATCCTGCAGCAAGCATTTCAAATTTAGGATCAACTTTAGTTTTAGTTGCAACAAACATTTGTTCTTGTGTTGTATTTTCTGATACAACTCCTGTTTGAAGTTGGAGTTGTTCTTGTGTTGTATTTTCATATACAACTCTAGTTTGAGGTTGGGTTTGTGGTTGTGTTGTATTCCCATATGCAGCTCTTGTTGCATTTTTCTTTGGTTTTCTCTACATATATAGATCATGGAATTAATATGATACAATGACACACAAAATTATACATAGTATGAAGATAAGTAAATACCTTTCTTTTTTAGCTTCAGGGTCAACCACAAGACTAGTACAACTTCTTGCATTATGGTCATGTACATCATGATTTGTGCAACAATAAGTTATTTGTGTTCTTCTCTTGTTAGAGTCTTCATCAAGTTCCCTCCTCTTTAATTTCTTTGGCCTTCCAGGTCCTCTTTCTATGATGGAGGTAACATTTCTTCAATATCAACCTCTGACCACATGTCTTGTCCATTAATTGGACTTACATTAAAATCATAGCATTCCACATATATGTCTTTGGAGTAGTAATCATCCATATAGTCTTATGGGCATTGATTCCTAAAACCTAATGCAGATACTTCATGTCTACAAGGTATCGTACTCACTCCCAAAAATTACAAGTGTAGGTTCTTTTTGAAATTTCATGAAACAGTAAGAAATTTTCAATATATTTGCGAAATTCTAAAAGATTGACACGAAAATTTGAAAATTTCTGGTGTACTTGTACCGTAAATTTCAAAAATTTCGGTTATTTAGTAACATTTTATACCAAAATTTTTGAAAATTCCGATGGTTCAATTTTTATACCGAAAATTTTGAAATTTCCAATAGTTCAATATTTTAAAATACCAAAAATTTCTAAATTTAGGGTAGTTCATTTCTTTCCCTAATTTTTAATTTCCCTTTTTTCTTTGTTTCAGTGAGGACCAAGGGTAGAGACATTTCCTTTGTGGGAATCCTGGTTGATAGAGCGGAAGCTCAGGCCTGGGATGATGAGGCGTATGCTTTCGAGCTATGGGCTGGACAACGTCCTCCAACCGGTTCTCATTGAAAACACTTGGCTGAATAGGCGCAGATATTTGCACCCTGGCGTCGGACTGCTAGAGTTTCTACTAATGAGAAGGTGTCTTCTCCTGTGGAGGTAACTGCTATTGTGACTGAACAAGTTATTATGGAGCCGGTAGTTGCTGAGGAGGCTCTTGTGGCAGTTGTTTTGGAGCCAACAATTGTTGAGGAGGTTGTTGTGGAGGAGACAATTATTGAGCAGGATTTTGTTGAGAAGGTTGATGAGGTGTCTCCCACTTATACAAACGCCACTACTCATGTCTTTACAGAGCCATTAATTCATACTGATGGAGGTTTCCCAAGGTGACCTTCAGATATGTCAGTGGTCACAAGGTATGCTCACCATGTCGCGTACAGGATATGAGAGGTCGAGGTATATTTGTTATATTTTTTATTGCAAATTTTTCCTTATGGCTCGATCAAGTATTGAAAGTTTATGTATAATTTTTTTTTTAAAATTTGCTTCTTACAGGAGTTTGCGACGCTAAAGGGTGCATCCCATGGTTCGAAGTTGAAGAACTTTCTAGAGGGTGGTATGCCTGAGGAGGTCAGGCATATAGTTTCTGATTTTCACCTGTTGGAGTTTGCCAAGTGCTCACTGACCATGCTCGACGCCTCCCTTCTGTCAGCTTTTATTGAGAGGTGGCACCAAGAGACATCATCCTTTCATCTTTCATCTTTCATTTGAGTAGATGATGATCACATTGGATGATGTCGACGCGTTATTTCACATCCCGGTCACTTGAACATTCTTCACAACTCTCACGTTAACTAGACGACGATGTTCATGGTTATGGATGATTTGGAGGCCAGTGGGGCCATGGTTATTGAGAAGTTTGGCATTAACCAAGTATTTCACCTTCAGATGTCTTGGTTAAGGGAGAGGTATGGGGAACACGTGGAGGCCCAAAGATATGAGGTCGCCACTAGGGAGTACATGTTACATCTAATCGCATGTACTCTCTTTGTGGATAAATTAATTGTTTACATTGATGGGCTTGTGGAGTGGCAACGTTGACCATGTTGTACATGTCACTTGGAGTTGCTTCTCTGCCTGAGACTAGACAACTAACTGGTTATCTAAGACTATTACAGATATACTAGAAATTATATGTTGGATGTTATATTTAATTGAGTATATTAGTTGTTTGTTATTTGTTATATTAAATTGTTTTTATTTATTAAGTGTTGGATATACGAGCATTTCCCTCACATCTGTGAGCGAAAGATCCAGTGTGTACCAGCTAGTGTTCCACGAGCGAGGAGATGGAAGCGCATGCAAGCGCATCCAGGAGGTGTTATAGAGTACATGAGGAGGTTTGATGCTCTAACAGTAGATTATGTCGTCTAGATGTCATACACAGTTCACCGGGCTCATCGTGCATTTGACGATGCTTCTTTATATTCAGAGCATATGAGGTGGGACACCCACATGGCTAGACACTTGCCTGAGAGGTGTTTGCAACAATATGGTTATATCTAGGGCATGACCCGTCCAGTTCTAGAGTCTCTAGCTGGTGGCATTCGTAGATGGTTTCAAAGTCACATCATCGGCTCTACTCGTGAGATCGAGGAAGCTCAGTTACAGTTCAGTATCCTTCACAGTGCAAGGATGGATACCTGGAGTGGTATCACAGTATATCACACGTTCGCCTCATACCATCGATTGCAGGGTCTTCTGATGTTGG